TGTGTGTGTGTGTGTGTGTGTGTGTGTGTGTGTGTGTGTGTGTGTGTTTAGACGCAGTGCCAGGAGCTGCGGAAGCGCAGGAACCTGGAGCTCCAGATCTTGTCAGAACCAGTGCGTGGCTGGGAGGGAGACAGCATGAAGAGCCTGGGTTACGTGGCCTACATGTCCCAGGTCCACGTAAAAAATGGGTCCAGTGAGGTGAGAGACGTGTCGGGTTTGACGAAATACAGGAAGAAAGCTGTAGATTAGAATCAGCTGGGTTTAATTCAGTCAAAGAGAATAGAAGGAAGGGAAAGTGTTCAAGGATTTATTGCATTGCGAAGCCCAAAATGTGCTTTTGCGTGCACAGAGAAGACTGTAAGACGGACTTCCATGAGCTTCTTTTGCCATCTCTAATAAACTTTGGAATACTGGAGTCATTTCTCGTCACATTAAAATTATCATATCCATTTCTCAATGAAGCCTACTGGGTACCTCTCCTGCTCCCCTATAACATATAATTTACAGTTAGACATGCAGTTGTCATAATTTCACAGTCAATTTAAAAAGCTGCAATGTGTTATAGGGTTCCCAATGAACCGTGTCTGCAAAATGACAGCCTCCTCTTTTGGTAATTCAGCATCCCCCTCATGTTTTGTAGCAGAAACCTACAGTAGGTAGGCCATACGCATACTGAAAAACCAGCTCCTCTTTCTTATGTGGTTTCTGTGCAGGGGTCAACTTTGAGTCGGTGGTTGGAAGAAAGCCCAAGATAGACATTTGGATTCACCCTCCTTTATGTTTTTATCACTGCTAACCGCTTTCCAACCACCATACTAATCACCATACCAACTGTCTTGGAAGCCCGTCTTATTTTCCATCTATATAACAATCAACAGCCTTGACGTGAGCTAAAATATGCCAGCGTCAGCTATAATGATGGTTTTGTTTTTGTCTCTTTCTTGCAGGAAAAAGAGGAGCGCTACCTAATGCTTTTCCCTAACGTGTTAGTCATGCTCTCTGCCAGTCCTCGAATGAGTGGCTTTATTTATCAGGTGAGCAACACAGTATACATTATGGCTCCTACATCAGTCCTTCATGAGTATTTATTTCCTATTTGTCTGAGTTTTCATTTCTGTGGGCACATAATGTCATTCATTTCAGGCTATAACAAGATATAGACGACAAGTCCTACTTATGATATGGTGGTATCTTATTTCCTCTCCCTTTGCTTGTCCCATTCAGGGAAGACTGCCACTGACAGGCACCACAGTAACAAGACAAGCAGAGGATGCAGACAATGGCTACTATGCCTTGGACATTACAGGTTTGCATCTGAAGCTCTGGAGAAAATTCTGACTCATCTTCTTCAGTTTAGTCGAAGATACAGCAGTAATACAGTGTATTAGATTGTAACCCAAATAAAGAATCGTAGATGAAGCATCAGCCAAATAAAGAGTCGTGGGACTGTCTTCAAAACTCTTACAGTGTTCTTACCTTGTCTAATCCCAGGGAACGAATTCATACGACAATACTTAACATTTTAAATGTAAACTAGCTGTCGAGGCAGTCCTTCTCCCTGTCAAATATCCATGCTGCTGGCTGTACACAGTCTGAAAAAAAAGATCAGATTTGCCTCAGTTGCTACACACGTGGATATAGATAGAGCATTTGACAGTAAAGGCCTTTAAACACTGCTGGTGTTTTTTTCATTTGATTAATTTGCACTTCAATATAATTTTTGAACTGTTGTTTTTGTCATCAATACTTTCACGAAAAGACATTTTTCTGAGCTTTCGCAGCATGAATAAAGGCATCAGTCATGTTGTGCAAACGGGGTTGAGCTGCGCCTTTTCTTTGTATTTATATGAACTCAAAAGCTCCTCCGTAGTCCGAACCATGACGGTAAACTTTTAACCGTGACCGAGGCAGTGCATACCAGGTCCATTCCTTCTGTTCTTACCTTTCACAATAAAAGCCCTGGACATACAAAATTCACAAGCGGGTATTTTGCATTTTTGTGTAGTTTATTTGTCACGCTCCAGGTGTGTGACGGTCTTAAGAAATGGAGGTCTCCACCAAAACATGTTGCTTTTCTTGCCTTACACTGTTATCTCTTTGTTTGCGGCATCTTTGTGTGCAGGTTGTCCATTTTGCGTTTGATCGTGTGTGTTGCTAAATTTTGGGGGACATGTGAAGTAGACTTGGACCTCTAAAAGACCCCTGCATTTCACTTAATTGGCTGTTCTAGTTCTACTTTTGTCAGCCATATGTGACTCTCACTGAAGGAAGCGTGCGTGTGCTTTTGTGTTCATGTGCTGCAGGAGGCATGATCGATCGTTTTACAGTGTTCTGCAGTAGTGCCCAGGAGTTACAAGAATGGCTGGAGCACCTTCAGCCCTTTACCAAAGGAGGAAGCCCTGCAGGAACCATCTCAAAGGTTAGGACGCACACACACATACAGTAAACCGTCAAAACAATACCAAGAGTGAACCCTGCAACATGCTGAGGTGTGAAAAACAGACTCATCTTTCATTGCACCTATGATTCCCACCCACTCCCTTGTCTTCTTTCCTTTCATCGTCTCATGTAGACTGTAGAGGGCAAGCCACTGAGCATGGTCGGCACCCCCACTCACCTGTCCCACCTGGGCAGCCTCAGCGCCGTCAGTCGAGGCCCCCTGGAACCGCCAAAGATCAGCAAGCCCTGGTCTCTCAGCTGTCTGCGCCCCGCGCCTCCCCTCAAACCCTCTGCTGCACTGGGATACAAAGAGGTAGGCGGTTGTAGAGTTGCACTAACAAGTCTACACACGCTTGATGTGCATCTTTTATAAGCAGTGGTGCAGTACATTGTTAGTCAGAAACCGCAAGAAGTCCTCCTCCACTTCAAGTCCCTCTCTGTGGCCCCCGTTTCTGTCTCTACTTTATTCAGACTTCCTCTAGTCTGTTTCACACAATACTTTCCACCAAACACACAAATAATACAAGTGAGGTTGACACACGCCTTTAATCCTTATATTGGACTGTGATTGACGCATATTCAGCAGTATTTAAATTGATATTCGTGCCGCAAACATCACTGCAACTACCTACAATCGTAATCTATTGGCATGTTAGCCGCCTGTAATGTACTTTTGTACCAAAGCAGCTTTCAGTATTTGTAGATAAATGTTAGATTTGTAACTTTTCTGCTGTGGCTGAACATTTTTATTCACCTTTATTAACTACTCCTTCGTGGCGTTTGACATGTTAACATAACCTAAACTACACAGACTCTAAAAACGTTGTACTGTGCTGTGATGACAACAGGAAACCCCTTCACATATGTAGAATAGTACTTTGCACAATGTGTGGACCACCTAAATATAGTACATGACTGTTATTAATAATGCAGTAAATAGAATATGTTTAACACAACTTCAAGTGTGTCTGAAACATGACGTATGAGAAGTATTCTGAGAAGGTTAATTCCAGTTACAAAGTCTCACTGGCATTGAGTGGTTAAAAGCTACTTGGCTTTGAGGGTGTTGGCGCTCTCACTCTGTAGTCCACGTGGGAGGTAGAAGCTTTAGCAAAGTTATCAGTCAGCTCTTTAAAACTTTCAGTTAGCATGGACAGTCTAGGGATGTGTTGAATACAGTAAACATGCGACTAGGCACTTTTTTTGATTTAATCTCTACTTTTTAACACTAAATACACACGTATACTACACGAGCTGATTCTTGTCCACTGTGAGAATGGAACCAAGCAGACTTGTAGCTATTTGGCTCTTTTTAATCTGCCCTGCAAAGAATGCATGTATAGTCCTCTGAATGCATAACCTTCTTTCTGCCAAATTCTCCATATATCTCTTTTTTTTTTTTTTTACTTGAAGTAATCAACCTATTCTGCATAGACAAAGAATTGGTGAATGGCAGAGTGGGGTATACAAATGTTCACCATTAACTCTCTATCACACCCTTCTCTCGTCGTATTTTTTCATGCACATTTCCCCTTTTTCTCTCTTTCTCCATCCTGCCTTCTGTAGAGGATGTCTTATATCATGAAGGTAAGGTTAGATCACACTCTGTTTCTATCTGTGTGTGTGGATAAGGATGTGGGTTAGGGGGTGGGGGTGGGATGTGTTTCTGATGGGGTTTGCCTGTGTGTGTGTGTGTGTGTGTGTTTGCCCCAGTGTTGTGCTGGCATGCCATTGCTCTGTTTGCTTCACACCTCTCTCTCATTGTCATCTGTTGGTTTCCTGTTTTCTGTGGCCCTGCGTGTCTGCTCTTTTTTTCTTCTCATTCCCTTTAGGGAGTCAAGTTAAAAACAACCTTTCTCATGCAACGGTAGTAGCCTACTAATTTCTACTTGGGGGTGCAATTTGTGGACATCATGAACACAGAGTCATGTCATTCAGTCCTGAGTGAGTTACTTTGCACATGTGTGATATTTGAATAATCAGCAGCCCAAATATGCTGTCATGGGTGAGATCATGTCTCTTTTTAAAGGGGAACTACAACTAAATTAAGAATTCCAATATGCTATTTCCTTTTAGAGCGCTATATAAATAAAATGTATTATTATTGTTATTTCCATGGCCTAGGAAAGTTCAATCAATATTTGTGAACATGAGCTAATGTCTCGCTAGTGTCCATCTATAATATCTTTCCCAATAGACCATCTCACATTAAATTAAAGATTACGTCTCGTCAACATTAACACCCAATTGATATCGGACCTCTCAAAAGAGATATTGCTCGCTAACGTTAGCTAAAGCTAATTTTGTTAATTGACGAACAAAGTAGCAATTACTGGACTAAAGGCCCAGATTTATGTAGACGCATAAACTTTGACGATTAGCGCCACCGCCTGACAGTAATAAGGAAACATTATCCTGGGATCTGGCTAACGTTAGCCCTCCTGAATATGTCATTAACAGTTTGATGGCTGGTTAGTTATTGATAACAAAGAAGAGCATCAAGCTCGGAGTTGCGTGACATAAAGACCCTTTCTTCTTTTATATTGTCCTTGTTGCAGTGTATGTGAATGACATCAGCCGACAGGAAATCAACATCGACCCAAGCAATGCAATTCCATTCAAATGGTCTATTCACTGTCTATTGAGCAGTACCAGACTTAATACTTGATGACATCACAGATTTTAATTTAGCACTCTAGAATTGTGAGTGTGTTCATGTTTACTAATAATTTTGGACTGTCTTGGACCTCAGGAATAACATGTATGAATTTTGAAAATGCTTGGTTCCCCTTTAAGTGGATTGCATGTTTCCTGGAGAATCAGACTGGAGCTATGTTTTCCATGCATACAAATGTGCAATTGTATTTGACGTCACAAGGACTCCTCTACGTCTGCTCGATGTAAAGGCAGTTGTTCAACACGTTGGACAAAATGGCGTAATAAGGCTATCGTACGTCTCAATCTCCCGGCTTTAAAGTGACACAAATATCACAGGACATGTGTGCACTGCGCATAATGCACTATTGATGTACATCAAGCAGGTGGATGGAGCTAAATCTTGACACAAATTGCAGTGTGCCACTGAATTGCACATCACTCTACGTCACCTCTCCTCCCACCCTTGTATATAATGAGAACACCAAACCAACGAGGAAAGAACCTCAGTAAACGTCAGGGAAATATGTTTTGTGCCGTGCGCTTGCATTCACTCTAATCCATGAACCCCTTCAAATGTTGATGAGGTCAAAACTCAAGCAACACTTGTAGTAGCAGTTTTGATCTCTTCAGACTTTTCCCCTTCTCCGTGCACCCTTTGGAAGTAGGTGAAATTGGGTCTCAAACTCCCACTCTCCATTTTATAGTCATATGATGCTGTCAATTATTCCTCCTGATTCTAATGAGGGACTTTTAGGAGTCTGTGGTAGAGTTCGTGAAAGTGGATTCTCACTAAATTACTAAAACAGACCATTGCTTACCATCTATTTTCCTGTTGCGTGTTTGACTAATCCTCTCATTTCCAGCGAAGGGCATGGGGCAAATTACTTCATGTGAAGTATAAAAAGAATATGACGTTTAAGTGCCATAAGTTATCTCCACCCATCTGCATTAACATGATCACCGTGACTAAACCGTTGATTATTCATCACACCTCAGCTTTTATTGTTGGCAGGAGAGGAAACAGACATTGCGCTTGTTTTCAAACCCTTAGATCAACCCAGAAGCAAAAAAGGGAAAATATCTCATTCATAAAACCGCATCATTGCGGTTGGAAAGATTGTAGAAAATCATGTGATCACATCTCGGCTTCCTTTCCCATAGCTTTGTCAACACTGTATCCCACAGGTAAAGCTTGATTATTTCAAGCTTTTTTTTTTCTCCTTCCCCGCCAGTAGTCAGTTGTGGGTCAAATATTCTTGATTTAATAAGTACCGTGAAAAAACGTGTTTTAATTTGTCTTTTCTTGATGCTACGTTAGGCAGGATAGCACAGATGGATCACATGGCTGGGTTGGTCACAGTCATCACCACACGCTTGCTGCCTTGTTTGTTGATGGAATTTTGTTCTTTTGATGTTGTTTGTTCATAAGGGATGCGCGTCCCCGTAAGCTTGCATTCTGTTTGGTTTGGAACCTCCGCTTTACAGGTGTGTAAATGCAGTGTGTGTGTCCTTAGAGAGAAATGTACTGAATTTGATGTTGGACTCTTCAGGACTCCAGCAAGAGCCCGCGGCCCATGAAGAAGTTCCTGCCAGGCAATAGGAAGAAAGAGCGGAAGCCCTCTGATGACGAAGTTCAAACGAGGAAAAGTAGGAGTTTTATCTTCCTAAAGAATGAAAGATGGCTTAATACTTGGGAGTGTCCACATGTGATGTCATTGTATGTCCACTAATGCAGTGTGTAATGCAAAACAGGAATGCATTCGTCACCATCTGCTGAAGTTTGTATTGATGATATTGATCATCTGTGCTCTTGACAGGCACGGTGGCGCTGGAGGAGGACGCTCAGATACTGAGGGTGATTGAAGCGTACTGCACAGGGGCCAGCCTGCATCAGGCCACCACAGGTGTGCGTTTATGTAAGGAAAATGTTTCTTTAATGCCTTCTTAGATTGCACATCTTCAACAGCTGATAGAGCCATAAATTAAGCCTGCTCGTTAATGTGTGTGTGTGTGTGCGCGCGCAGCGGTGCGGAAAGAGTGCGTCCCTCAGGTGCTTCTGCCAGAGGAAGAGAAGATCATTGTGGAGGAGATGAAGAGCAACGGGCAGACAGTTATTGAGGAAAAGTAAGCATATTATTACTTTTGGCAAACAGCTTTATCATGTTTTTCACTGTAAATGGATTCAGAAATGTGTTATTGGTCTAATTCAGGCTGTTGAGGAATGAATCCTCGCACAGTATGATCTTTGGTTGAAAGGCAGGATAACCTTGATATCCAGGTTGTACATGATACATGAGCAGATGTTTTAAAGGGAACAATAAATGCATATTGTCTAGCAATACTTACTTATTTTTGTGTTTCCTTCAGGAGCCTGGTTGATGCTGTGTATGCTCTAAAAGATGAGGTTCATGACCTGAAAAAGGTAAGCATGGTAAACACCCGAGGCCAAAATACTGGTTTCCAATTTTTGACTATTTTGCCTCCATAACCATTCTTTTTTCAGACTAGTGGAAATACAACATCCTAAGTACACATTTAGGTGTTTATTTCACTACACTCTGTCTATTTGTGTCTGTAGACTTCTCCTAAATTCATTCATGTATGTAAATGTATCGGCAACATAGTTGTGCGTCCTACTTGTTAAGGGTGCAATTGTGTTTGTTGACATTTTTTTTGGGGGGGGGGGTGTTAAATGTACTAGAGACCAACCGATATTGGATTTCAATGAAACCGATCTGTTGATAATGTATCAGATTACATTTTCATCTTTGTATCGTATAATCTTTTGTTTTTTTACTTTTACCAACATGCCTCTTTCACCATATAGTTTTCAACATTATATAAAAATGTATCAGGCAAAGTAGTTGTAGTAACTTCATCAAAGAAAAAGCACATTATATTAACATCAAATGAGATACAGATACAGTATAGTACATCTGTCATCGACTTGTATCAGCCTGTAATGACGGCTTGCTGATGCATCGGTCAGTCTCTAGACTGTATAAACGAGTTTGTCCTTTTGTCCGCTTTTCCACAAAAAGTAGCATGTTCATGCAGGTTTTTTAAACAACTGAAAAACAAGTTTAAAATTGACTCCTTTTTCATTGCCAGTTGACGAGTATTCCTTTCTTTTTTTGTGTCGCGTCTTGACTGCACAGTCGCGCCTAACAGGGTTAGTAAACAGTGAAAATGATATGGCGGTTACTTCACGTCTCTTCATTTTACGTGTTACTTATTCAGTCTCTCATTCAAACCTGAGCTGGTGATTGTTAGAACAGTGTAAAGACTTACAAAGACAGCTGTGATGAGTTTTATTTGGTTTCTGTCGAGTTTGAAGTGTGTTTTTTAATAATCAGTGAGGTCAAATTACAGGTTCTGTCAGTGGAGTCTTGTAGCTTTGAGGAGCGCATATAATGATTCACATCTAACTCTGTGAATTAAGGGTTTATTTAGACCTCTGTCAAGTTCCAATGAAGTTTGTTTCCGTAATCTGCGATGTAAAATGACTGTTGTCTGTTTGGATTCTGGTGGCTTTAAGGAGGGAATATTAAATGTATGTTATTAATTCGTAATAATTGTCCAAATCTCTGTTGATTTTATTTATTATATATTCACTTCAAAAGCCAGATGTTAGTGGGTGTTAGTGGTTTTTCTGTCCAGTGAGAAAGGGGCTTAAGACAACCTGTCCAATACTGTCATTGTCTGCATGTTTTACAGGAGTATAAGTGGATGAAGCAGTTTCTGGAGGAGGAGCAGAAGTCTCGCAAAGAGCTGGAGAGAGTGGTTCGAAAACTGGCCAAGCAGAAGAATGATTGTGCTTGGGAGGACTGCGGCCACTGAACACATCCACACAATCATCCTCACCCTCGTGTGGCTCCGTATGCGTGTGTGTGGGTACATTTATGTAAGCGTGCTTGTGGAGGGTCAGCTGTGTGTGTGTGTGTGTGTGTGTGTGTGTGTGTGTGTGTGTGTGTGT